CCCCCCCCCTCCCACTCTCTCTCTCTCTCCCTTCCTGCCAGATGGCTATGCGGATGGGGAGTGAAAATGAAACCTGACTTTCGGACAGAATGCCAGTCCAAACGATTTGAAAACAATTACGAAAGGACAGAATCGCCATTACTTTCCTCCCCTCATTCCGTTTTGGGATTATGTTAGGGTCGGGCCCTGGGCTTGCCTTCGTGCCGACCGTGCCGCCGATGGACCTGGAGATGGAGTCCCGCAGGCAGCGGAAGCGGGCGGCCAGCGCGACGCTCACGACCATGATGAACAGGTCGTTGTAGTTCCACACGAACGTGGCGGTGAAGTTCAGGAAGAAGAAGAAGGGCGACAGCAGTGGCCAGTAGCCTATCACGACAATCAACTGGGCACATGGGAAAACAAACTTTGCCTTACCGACCGAGAGCGTGTACTGCCCGTAAATTATTTTTGATAATGCGGTGCGAGTATAAAGTACCGACCATGTCATAATTGGCAGAATAGTAGATTTCCAAGTATTCGGAAAACGTCGAAGCGTTCGGGTGGCTTCTCCTGAGATTGAGCGTGATTTCCATCTCGGAGAGACCGTGTTCCACTAAAACAAAGAGTCACTTAGTGAGAGTAGGGTTAGAATCCCTGGAAAGTTTCCGGAAAATTTCCAAAAACTTTCGGGAAAATACGGAAAATTTTCTAAAATCTTAAAATTTCCCATATACCCCCGGAAGTTTTCAGTTTTTTTCCGGAAATTAGGTATTTTATATTGGTAGATAAGGAAGATCAGGACGAACAAGCCAGAACAAGCCTTCAACAGTTTTTCGGATATCGACTGGTTTGCAATTGTTTTAGCAGACAATTTCCGAGAAATAATTGAAGTCTTGTTATCGCTTGTTATGTTCTGGCTTGTTCTTCCTGATCTTCTTTGTACCAATAAAATACCTCATTCTCTTTTTTGGGGAACTTTCCCTTTTCCGGAATTTTTTCGGAAATTTTCGGAAATTTCCAACCTCAAGTGATAGAGAGAGGCTTACCGAACGCCACGCCGAGGAGCAGCACGGTGATAAACACGACCTTCCTCCGGAGTCCCGGACACGGCCCGAGGTGTCGCTCCTGGGCGCGGAAGGCTCGCAGCAGCAAGCCCCAGTAGCGGGCGAACCGGAAGAAGAGCCACGAGGTGACCGCGCTCAGCCCATAGAACACCACCACCACTATGGGAGACGGCCGAGTATTTGGACGCGATCAATGGAAAATTACTTGCAAATCGGTCCTAAGAAATGTTACTTTTTAAAGCAGCACAGTCGTCACTCTGCACCATTGTCAATTTTATGACACTATAATTTTAGGACAAGCAAATGGCAATTTTCAAAATAAATCGGGACAGTTGAATTTCGATAGAGTGTTGTTTTAAAAACGCAACTTTCTTGTAGGATAATGTCCTGAATTACCAAAGTCTCAGTCGAGCATTTTATTTTGCATCACTTACTAACGTCGACGATCGACACTTTTTCTCGCGAGAACTGCCTGACGGCGCTGAGGACGGCGAGGACCGTGAGCCCCGCACTGACGCCCACCGAGTAGGCCGCCCGCTGGCTGCTCCAGGACCCCGTCAAGGAGTTCGCGGGCATCAAGGACAGCGCCTGCAGGAGAGCGAAAACCCAGAGCACTCGGTTTTTACGTTCAATAGAATGACGTATAATCTATAATTGTGTTTGATCTCAGCGATCATTTTGACAGTGATGTAAATTGCTCACCTGGCCGATGCTCACCGGCAGGTGCACGGCGTTGGCGAACGCGTCCGGGTGCTCCTCCGGTGGGACGGGGGACGACGCGTCACCCTGCGGGGCCTGGAACAGGCCGTAGGTCGGCGGCACGTCGCCGTCGTCGTCGTCGTCGGTGTCGTCCATGGCTCCGGACAGCAGGGTGCCCATGGGCGTGGCCACCCTGGATCGCGACCCGTCCACGAAGGCCGGCGTCGGGTGTTGTTCGCGGTCCTGGCCGTCCCGCACGGCCCCCAAGCGCTGCCGGAGCGCCGCCGCCCGGGCGCGCGCCCTCGCCGCCGCGGTAGCCGCCCCCGCCTCCGCGGCCGCGTCGTCCACACCGACGCTGCACGCGCGGGGCCGGAGACCGTCCTCGTCATGGTCGCCTCGCTCACCGTCTGCAGTGCGGGAAGCCGCAGAGAATCAATCAATTGCATACAGGTTTGTTTAGTTCACTGGTGAAAAGTAAAGGGGGTAAGTCCAATGGAAAGTCCAATGGAAAGTCCGTGGACTTACGCCCTTTTCACTTTTCACCAGTGAGTTTTGAATCCCTTCGGTTGACGAGAAACTCGTTGTCCCCTGATATCGATCGCTGCCACGGTTTGCTGAAATGAACTTCGACCGGAGTCTATCTAGTTGAATTTTATAGAAGGGTAAAACTTTGGTTCACATTTTCATCCACTTCCTGCACTGCCTCCGGCAGAGAATGGAACTGACACTCACAGCCGAGGACGAACAGCTGCATGTGCGGCGGTCGGCGCGGGTGGCCCGTCACGGCCTCGAGGAAGCTCGGCGGGCTGCTGTCCAGGGTGGCGGTGGGCGCGCGCGAGTACCTCGGCGAGCACTGTAACGGGGGCCGCGCCCACCCCGCCCAGTGCTTCGTGTCGCCATCTCCAGCGGCGGCTGCAGAGGAGTTATCACTTTATTCAGGACGGAATGGACCCTCTGAAGCGGCAGCTTCTTTCTTTCAACTAGCATGTAGCTCTGCCGAGTAATTATTGGTTAGCCTACTTCACAACGAAATTTGATTTGCGACTCACAAATTAGCTAATATGTTAGTTTTGACAATTTTTAGACAGTCCCCTAGACTGTCTCTACCAGAAGGCAAGAGCGGGCGCCTGGCGTATTTTTTTTTCTACGAACTGATCAAGGTCAGCTACACGTGACGCGCATTAAGGCCCTTCGGGTTCGAGCGGTACCCGGGTCATTTTTGGGTGTTTTTGGGTGTTCTTTTAGTCTGTCTGTGTTTCAGTGTACACTCAGTAATTCTTTGGGGGCAATTCCAGGAGAAATGGTCAAAAATGTCTGTCCGTCACGCGATTTGTCAGCGACTGAGAGGTGCTACGGCTTCGTACAAAAAAAAAAACATGACTGGAGGCGTCCTGAGATGTGGAGTCAGGACATGTGTTGGAAATCAACGTAGCGCCTCTCAGTCGCTCACAAATCGTGTGACGTACGGACACCACTTCCTGGAATTGCCCTTTAGAAAAATATCAAGGAAAAATCTATTGAGTAATCTGGAAAAAACGGATTAAAAAGACCAGAGAAAATCAAGACAAAACGGAAAAACGCTTAAATTTGCAGTGAAATCGGTGAGGGATTCGCGCAGAAAATGTGTCACGTACCTGATGTTGTGCCTGAGAACGGCAACGTGCTGACAAGTCCTCCGGGGCGCGCGCTACACTCCGAGCCCCCCAGGCTCGCCTCCGGGGTCGCCTCCAGGCTCGCCTCCAGGCCACAACATGGGCGGGCTGGGAGTCCACTGCAGTCCGGCTGGACGCGGCCGCCGTCCCTAATGTCTCCAGTGTCACTGCCTGCGTCGTGCCTGCCCTGCGCCACTCCCGCGCGTCGATTCGAGTGTTGTTTATTCGGGTTTGTCCCGCGGCGTTTGTCCAGCCGGTGGTGGTGCGGGGGTCGTGCGGAGGGGGTGGCGCGGGTGGCGCCGCAGACGGGCCTCCAGGGGGCACGGCCCGCGGGGGCGCGGCCCGCGAGCGGGGGCGAGCCCTTCCGGGGAGAGGTAAGGGGGAGGGGAGGGGGCGAGGACCTGGGGCATGCGACCTTCCGGTGCCACACCTGCTATTTCTCTCTGCCAGGCGCCTGGGGCTCGACAGGCGCGCCCGGATATTTTTCTCTTTCTCTCTCTCTCTCTCTCTCTCTCGCTCTCTCGCTCTCTCTCTCCCCCTCCCCCTCTCCCTTTTCTCTCTCTTCACTCTTCACCCCCGCCCACCACCCCAACCACCACACATGCACACACAAAAAAGTTTTCGGCGATACGTTTATTGTCAGCCTCATTAGGTCTCGTGTGTTTCCCGTTGTCACAATCACCTCTTCGCTCTCTAGGGGAGTGGTTCGCGTGCACTAGAGAGATAGACGGATAGACACCCGCACACACGAAGGGATGGACAGACAGACGCTATTGTGAGGATGGCAGGCCGTGCGTGTGGCGGTGAGGCTCTGGCACTTATTCAAACGCTCAGACTAATCCCACCGCCTTGCTTCTGTCCGTCGCGTCTGCCTTAATCATCATCAACCCCTTTCTACTCACTGTTTCTTTCTCTTTATCCCCCCCCCCCTTTCCTTTCGAAATTCCCCGGCCTCTGTCGCAAGTAGTACAGGGACCTGCACTTTCAGAGCCTCGTCGTAGGAACGGACTTATTCGCCAGTTAGTTATTCGTGGTGTCTTGATCAACCCCATCATTTTTATTTTCCCCGTTTTCTACGCTTCACGAGCGTGAAATTGAAGAACAGCGTAGCCTTAAGCTGACGTCGGGGTTGTGTGTTTGGTCTCGGTGAGAGTAGATTAGAAGGGGAAGGGGGATCACCTTTTCCCTTACGCGGAAGCCAAATCTAGAGGTCCTTTGAGACCTCACAGGTAGTGTTTTCGATTGGGCGGGTATGAGATCGGCGCTTGCCCTACACAAGAGGAGATAGAACTGTGTGGCTGGCAACTGTCTCAATCGCTCACCGAGTCGCTCACGTCACACGATGAGGTCGGGTAAGGCTCGCCCGACACTTACACCGGCTGCCGAGCCTCCCTTGGCGCCTCCGGTCCCCGAAACCTCACCCCTCGCCCTCCTGGCCACGGTCGTGAGCTTGGTGGAGACACACGCGTGCGTACCGGGCGGGAGGACAGCCGAGTGCCGGTGATTTAGAAGCTGTCTCTTTGTCGGGTAAAATCTCACTTCGTCGGGCGGGTCGGGTCGGGTATGAACGCCATCAAGCGTCGGGCAAGCTGGAACACACCAACCCCCCCGATCGAAAACACTACTCACTCACAGGTAACGACACACGACTACAGTGAAGTACCTGCTGTTGCGCTGTCGCATAATATATTACGCTACGGCGACCCGAGCAGAGGCGAGATGCAAGGGTGCGATGGAAACTAAAATAGGCTGCCTTACATGACGTACGGATATTAAAGTGACACAAAACTCGGATCGGATATGAAATTTTTGATCGAGTCAACCATTACTCCCTTAAGAAATGTAACAATTTGAGAAGCGTCGCTCGGAGTCATGGTCGGTGCGAGTCGTGGATAGGCGGGCGGGGACGGGTAAGGAAGAGGACTTATTGGTGCAGCCTCTTACACACATAAAGAGTTACATCGGTCCGAGTCGGGAGTTCGGGAGAAAGATAGCAGGGGTCCACCTCCAGACCTACTAGCTCCAGCTAGCTCCAACCCTATGGGAGAATCTAGTCTGTAGAATCCACGTTAAGTTTCTGTAAAATTCCACGATTGTGCGCAACAGTGGTTCAAAAAGCGTCCAAAATGTGGACACGTGCTTCCTGTGGGCACGCTAACTGCTAGCTGTGTAGAAGTCCATATTCAGGAGACCTCAATGCACCCTAAAACCAGGGGTGGGTCGGCATTGGCTGGGTGGTGGGTCGGTCCCTCTGGTGGCCCCACGAGACGAGGGTGATAGTGGATATTAGAACACTGAGTGCTCCGAGCCAAAAGGACGCAGTTAGATCCCTCGACCCTCGGGGCCCCTCCTGTCGTGACAAGACCATTAACGGCTATCGAGATTATATCAGAGGATAGCACGCGATGGGCACAAGTGTGTCACACACTTGAAGTTGTGTGAACAGTATTCGTACATATAGAGGCACCTTGGAGTGAGGTGTCGTGCCCGAAATGAGTGAGACAATTTTGCCTCTCTCAATCAGAGCGATGGCTGTAAGGCTCACCCTATTTGAGTCATATGCACCGAATTCTCACTCTGGAGGAGCAAGATTTCGCTGACCTCACCCAATTGCAGTGAGGAACCTCACTCTCAGTGGGTGATGAGCGCAAATTATGACTCAAATTGAGTGAAAGTCAGATATCTCGCTCTCAGCTCTCAGGAGAGTAGGGTTTTTTGTGTCACTGATCTCGCTCTCCTGAGAGTAAGATATCTGACTCTAGCATTTTCAGTGTCACGGCAGAAGTGTGTGAGTTCAAAATAATATTTACACCCTCGCTCTCTTAAAGTACCCTCACTCTCTTAAAGTGTAACAATGGGCATGCACGTTAAGAGTGTGATATTAGAGCGACTGAACCGGGTTTCGGATCAGCCCTTAATTCGGATCAACTGTCTGCAGTTTCATTGCAGAACTGAAATTTGGGTACCTTAGTTTTTTTTCTGAAAAAGCAGACCTTCCTTTTGTATTTTAAATCACTAACAAGAAGCTGGGTGCGTAGAGTGGACTACAGGTCGATTATGAACTAAAACAAGCATGTTTTGGAAGTTGGGAGAATCTTGAAAAATTGTCATTTTTTCAAACTGAGATATGCGCATGATAACACTTTTCATGTGTCGGACTAGTATAAAAACATTAATTAAGGGTACTCAGAGTATCCTTATGGTATCCAATGATTTTTAATAGGTCTCTTAACGATTTGGCTGTGAACGTATTTTTGCTGATCCGAATTAGATTTTCACAAGTCCTATTTCGGATCAAAAACACTTCGTTCGGCCAACTGTCATATCTCCGAAACGGGTGCAGCGACAACCCTAAAAAAAAATTGCGAATTGTAAAGGAAGAAGTCGACTATCATAACCTCCAGTCTTGGTGGTTCTAGCACTCGCGTGTTACGGCACAGCGAGGAAAAACGAAAATCTGATCCGAAATAGGTTCAGTCGCTCAAACACACTTGCGTGTGATCGTGCGCAGCGCCGTCAGACGAAACGACACGGCGACGACAGAGCTAAGAGGCGGAGCATTAGGACTGACAACCACCCGACCCTCGCACGGCCGCACAGCCCGCGGGAAGTATTCAGAGACAAGGGAATCGGAAACCGTGCGAAAAGTTGGCACTGTGTCTGTCCGTCTCTGTCAGCGGCCGCTCGACTCGCCATTCGGACGCTTCGGACGTGTCACAGGTCAGCCGAGCCCATGCCGACCGCACGCTGGCAGTGAATCACTCGCTTGTTCGCGATGCATAATCCGTCGCCCGTATACATAAGATTCACTTAAGGCTACATTATTTCGACGCACTCACAACGTAATCGCCGCTTTAAGATATGGTTCTCTGTCCTCTTTTGATGCATCCTGTTAAAAGCCTACAAAGCCGTTGCTTTGCAAATTACGAAGAAAATGGATACATCACAATTACTAAGCGATTATTTTGCAGTAAGTAAGCCTTGCAAGCATCCTATGTAAACTACGAAGGATCGCAGCTTTGAAAGGCATAGAAGCACTGCCGAGCACTGCTTTAAAATTACGAAGCATTTAACTCTCTTCTCAACACCACTAAGCAAAACTTAACCGCCTTATGACGTTGTGTGGACTTGTAGCTTTAACTCTTTAGAAACTCTTTTTTTACATGTATATATAAATTAAGGATCCCCTGTATCCGACAGTGAAAAGCGTCATTTGTAGCTGTCGGACACAGGGGGTCCTACACAAAGAAGTGCAGTACACGTCGTGTCCTACACTTGAAACTGTAGTGCACAAATGGTACTACAGTTTAAACTGCAGAACCATTGGCGGCACTGCAATTTAAACTGTCATACTGTACGACACTTGAGTTTCACTTTATAGTGTTCCACTCGATAGTTGCGCTCTTTTAAGCGTTTTGTCTTCGGTTCCGTTGAACATTCCCACACAGAGTACGTCCCAAGGTGCGTTCAATCGGCGGAGAATGTGTTCCGTGTTCCATCGAAGCAGTTGAAACACTTAAATGTGCACCAGACGACCTAGTTGAGCACTTGCACATTGGACGTGCACAACGAGCAGTTGAACACTTTTTACAGTGTTGAAGGGTTGAACGCTATGTATCGGTTTGGAGTTGATCCGTCCCAGGGTGGAGCGCCTGGGACGTAGGCCACTCTGGAGAACGCCGCGCACGAGTGCGTCGCGGGATGGCCTACCCCGGGATCCACAGGGGCTCGGCGGTGCGGTACAAAATCTCAATTTCCTTTCTCTGTAAACAGTTGCAGCCTTCGGCCTAAATGGCATCTAATACCATAGGAGAACACACTGCCACACATCACGTCCCTACCAAAACAAATCTGAAATGGCTTTGTTTTCGCCGTCGCGACCGCCTCCGCGCCTCGTCTGTACGCTTTATAGGAGCGGGGGGCCGGCACGGCGTAGGTAGGGGGTTGGCAGGGG